AGGGCAGCTGAGTGAGGAGGGGAGTGTTGTTGTTTCCTTTGAAGAAGGAGGCGTGAGCTGCTCCACCAAAGTTTGGGAAGAAATTCCTCTCTCCTGTGGGCCAAGCATGAATGACCCACCAGCCGTCATTCTATTTCTACCAAGTGAGATAGCGATAGTCTGACATGACAAGGGGGGAAAAAACAACAACCCAGATTGGAATGCAAGTTTTCACTGGGGCCCAGCACACTCCCACCAAGATAGTGAGAGAGATAGAAAGGTTTGGTGGGGGAAATTGTTCTCTCCTTGGCAAAGAGAGATTCCACTGGAATTTACAAGACCAGGAGATTTAGTGCTTGCAAAGGAGGAGGGAGTGCTTCCCTGCCCCTCCTTGTGAGGGCAGCTGAGTGAGGAGGGGAGTGTTGTTGTTTCCTTTGAAGAAGGAGGCGTGAGCTGCTCCACCAAAGTTTGGGAAGAAATTCCTCTCTCCTGTGGGCCAAGCATGAATGACCCACCAGCCGTCATTCCCCCTTTACCACTTCTCTGTTTGTCTTTCCAGCCATTTAGGTTGGTCATGAGATGAAGAAAAGCGCCAGTACTCTTTAAGCTGCTGGGCAAGGAAGTCACATGAGGTGTTGATATGCCACCAGTGCACACAGTGGCATTGGAGGTGGTGGGTGGGCAGGCGTGCTGAAGATGGGTAACTCCTTGCTTCTTTCCCAGCAAAGCAAGAAAGGAAAGGATGTGGTGCAGGAGGCTGCAGTAGGCTAAAAGGCATAGAGGACCTACTCTCATTATGTGCCTTGCAAGTCACTTTCTGCTTGTGGTGGAGGAAACAATTCCTTCCACTTTGTTCACAAGCCTAGAAGCTCCTGATCCTGTTCAGTTTAGGAGGGAACTATTTTCCCCACCAAACCTTTCTCGCTTTGCTAGCTCATAAATTTCCACTCACTTCACTTTGCAAAGGAGGGAACAATTTCCCCCACCAAACCTTTCTCTCTTTGCTAGCTCATAAATTTCCACTCACTTTCCCTCTTGCCAGCCTAGCAGTGTCTCATTCCAATGCATTTTTTATCCCCTGTCATGTCATATTCTCACTATCCCACTTGGAAAGACGTTTTTAAAAAATAAAAAATAGCCTAAACCAGGAGCTGGAGTGGCCGTGGGAGGCAGCCAGCCCAAGGCAACAGATACAACTTACATTGACAGAGGCCTTCACATATGTTAAAATGATTAAAAATAAATCAATTTTACATCTGTGCTAAAATAAACAGTCCTCTGTCAGCCTAGTAAAATACCTCGCTTCTGATTTTAAAAAATCATGATCCCTTGGCAAGAAAACCTGTGCTCCCATGTATGTTGTGTGTAGTCACCTCTTAAAGAACAGATTCAAAACATGCTAACCCAATCCAAATATTATTCTTTTTCCTAGTATAAATGGGCTTCTTTGTCTTGTCTTTGTTTGTAGGAGTGGGAGAAAATTGTCCTGCAACCTCAGGGGTTTGCATGGGAGACCAATATTTTGTGTTCCTTGGGGGAATTAGTTTGGAAAATCTGGCTAGAAAATGCATTTTGGAGATAACATCATTGAAACATCATTTGTTTAGGGAAAATCTTGGTGAAAAACAATTTCTTTAAAAAAAACTAATGGAAGGTAAAATGATCTTCTGATTTGGATGTTGACCTTTGAAGTTCAGACTCCACTACTGCTCTGAATTCAGTAGGTAATCTTTGACAAGTCTCTTGTTTACACAGTTTACCTTCTGCAAAATGGATGTTCTAGTAGCGAATATGGGTCAAAGACCTAACTCCAAGCTGAAGGTTTCTCATCTGGTGGTCTCCTATCAACAGCATTCTCTTGCCTGTCCCCAATGTCTGAGAGAACTGAAAATTAGATGAAAAGGGCCAGAATTAGAATTTGAGCAGTATGTTTTGAGGAAGAAGAACAAAGTACTGGCATTGGAGGATGACCTGTCTTCAAGAGAAGCTTCAAATAGCTCCATAATATTAACCTGGCTCTCTTTTATTTATAGCCCCCTATGGCCTTTCCAACCCTGGTATCCTTTAAATGAATTGAATTACAGCGATTGCATTAGCAGCTGAAGATGATGGGAGTTGTATCCCTAAATGTCTAGGGGCGCATGAGGATGGGGAAGACTGTTGTATTTCTTATGCCTCTTACATCAGCATTTGCTGGTGTTTTTTTCAACCTTGATCTTGTATAAGTGTTCCTTTCCTCTGAAAGAAAAGAACAGAAAAACAGAAATGTGATTTACAGTGTTAGGACTGTTATCTGTAGATGTATACAACATATATAAATATATATAATATAAATAAAAGAAGACCCTCACAGAGTCTGTGAACAGAACAGAAATTCTGCTTCAAGGTCACTATGCAGTAAGCAGCAGCCTCTTGGCTTGATCTAATAATGCATCAGCCAACTCAAAACAAGTTGCAATTACACTAGAAATTACATTTGGACAAAATAGGAAGGCTGGGCCTGTTAAAGGAGAGAGAATATTTGCTTTGAGAGAATTTGGGTTGGTAGGTGATTGGATGGGGAGGAGGCAGACATCTGATCTTGAACTTGGCAACCCTTCCAGCTGGTTTAGTCACATATTTTCAGCTCAAAATCTATTTGGCCTTTACAACAGCCAAAATAAATGTCCCTTAATCACTTCCAACCTATTAACAGATGGGTAAACAGCTTTTTATAAATGGGGCATACAAAATACTTCAATATCAGCCAAAACTAATTAGTGGCAATAGCTGCACCAAAATGTATAATTCAAGTAATATATGTCAAGGTAGATAAAAGTAAAATCCCTCTTTTAAAAATCCTTTCAAATAATATAACTGCACTTTTAAAAACAGTGATGGGTTTAATTTAAACCTGAGAAGATTAGAATTCTAATTTGGCTTTCATCTGCCATTAAGGGTGCAAAAGATTTTCTATCTAAGGGGTTATGAGATTTGGTTGACAGCCAACTATGATGGTGGAAGGTCTGGAGGCTGAAAAACCTATGGAACACATTCATGGAACCAGAGCTTGGAAAAATTACTTATTTAGACTACCACTCTCAGATACCCATCCCTTGATAGATGCAGTGGCAAGGCAGTGAATAAAAGCAAGCCAGAGTCATGGGCAGGATGAGGGCAACAGAAGTGAAGGAGCACAGTGCTGCCATTTCTTATCCCTCTTCAGTTCCTAACCATGCCCCGGTCAATGATACATCTTTAAACCAACACCAGACTTGCTGTAGCAATGCCCTTCCTTATGAGGGAGAGAAAATAATGAAAAAAAAAAACAGTGGGAGGCCCTGCTGCTGCTCTTGTGCCAGCATATCCAGTGGTGAAAGGTGCTGGTACCTGCAGTCTAACAACATCTGGCAAGCTTCCTGTCCCCATCCAAGCCATTTGTTGTGAAGTATTGTCTAGTTCAGTGGTTCCCAACCGTGGGTCTGCATATGTTCTTGAGACTAAAACTTCCAGAAGCTTTCATCTCTAGCTGTGTTGTCCAGGATTTCTGTGAGTTGTAGTCCTAGAATTTCTGGGGACCAAAGGTTGGGAACCACTGATACAAGACTGGTAGCCCTTGCTATTATGTTTTCTGTTTCACTATTTTTACATGTTCTATATTTTTTATTAAATTCATCAAGAAAGTACATAGGCATGCTTGTTGATATAGTTAGTTGTGCCATTTTTTAAATGGCAAAATCATTGAAAACATTCCATTGATTGATATGGAATATTTGCATTCTGTTGTTTTAGATTAATTTACAAAGATGATTCCAAGTAACAATTCATCTCAGATAAAAACACACCAATTGTAAACCCCGTTTTAACATTTAATATAATTCCAAAACCCATGAGTTCAATAAAACCAGATTAACAACCAAGAAACATCATTCTAAAAAAACAAAAACAAATCAGCACTGCTATTCAAAAAAAAAAAAACTCACCAGACAAACAAAAGTTTTATAACTTACTTCTAAAAACTTGTTAAGAAGACAAAAATCATGACTACAGCAAAACAAATCAGCACTGCTATTAAAAAAAATCACCAGACAAACAAAAGTTTTATAACCTACTTCAAAAACTTGTTAAGACGACAAAAATCATGACTACAGGTGAACTACGCAACTTTAGCATTGATAAAGAAGAAATTGAAATAGTTAGATATTTTGTATACTTTTGTTTGATCCTCAATCCAAAGGGAGAACTGTAGCCAAGAAATCAGAAGATCGAGAAAAAGGGCAGTTGAGGACAGGACATTTCAAAGATAGTTAATTCATAGAGTCGCCATAGGTCAGAGGTCACTTGATAGCACATAACAGCAACAAACCTAGCAGGGTGCCTGATTCACAATTTATTTGGACTTTCATAACCAGGGTGCTTGACAGGAAAGGCCCTTTACCTCATCACCGGCCATTTAACCTGAAAGACTGGGGGATCTGTAGAGGGTTCCCAAAGAAGACCTTAAAAATTGGACAGGTTCGTTTAAGAATGTACAGTCACTTAAATAACTGGTCGCAAGGTTAAAAGTTCAAAAAGAAGTACTATCTGAATTGTGCACAGAAACAAGCAAAGTTATGTACTTAGATTGCGGAGATGGGTTCAGAATTTGCAGCAGGTTTTCTCCCTGCTAGAGTACAATTTTCAGAACACTATGAAAGCATGTTTTCGTAGGTTTTGCCATGAAAGCATTCATGTGAAGTGATATGTACAAAATTACACTGAGAAATTATTCATGTTTCCAAATTAGTCACATTAGCTTCTGAATATTCGGGATGCAGTTAAGCCAGCTCACATCTCATTGACTTTATTAAGGTGCTTTTGAAGCAAATGTAGATAGATTATAGCTTTAGGGCGCTTAATTATAGTGTTCTGTTGAAACATGGATAGTTCTGGTGTTAAAATTTTAATTTGCCATTGTTGCCATACATGTTAAAGTTTTTCTTAAGCATTGCCTTTAATGTAAAACAAGCAACTCCTCTGCTATTTCTTCTTCATTTTCATAGAAAACTTAGTTTAATTAGTGAGAAAGTCAAAAGGATTGGACCTCACCTAGAAATCTTTGAAGCTTTTAATCAATTCCGAAAGATACCCACAAAAGATCATGCTGTTTCTGCTGCCACTTGCATTCAAAGAATTGTCAGAGGCTGGCTTGATCGTACCAGATTGAACAGATTAAGGATGAAGGTAATGTATAGGAATGTGAGTAACATGTAGCAGTAAGGCGTGTGATGCTTAGATTCTCTACGAAAGGAGCATTTGTTTCTTAAGCATGGAACATGGATGAGTCTTGTGCACTATTATTTGTCCAGCAAATTGGAAAGGATCTGATTTGAAGAGTGGGTACTGGTTCTATGGAATTTTTTTTACCATTCCTCTGTTTATCTAAAACACATTCTTCAGGCACAGAAAATTGTCGCCCCCTAATCAAAAACTCAGTTGAAGATCCTGAAATACTCTACCACTGTGCCATGAGGCTCTGTAAATCATATCAGCTAGAAGGAAGGGTTATGTGTAATGTACAGTTTGCCTTTAGGGTCCTGTAGCCTTTTAATTATTAGAACAGATGTTTCTTTGTAATATCCTTACAGTCACACAACTCTAGTTGAACTCTCCTGGATATGTGTGTGTGATTCTACTTTTCTGATCAAATCTAACATTTGTACCTTGCTCTGTTTTTGTTTTCAATTGATATATGGCGTACTTACAGTAATTTGGACTGATCCTTCATTTGCCACATCACTTTTTTTCAGTTGTGATGTTGTGCTTGATTGCAAGGGATGTGTCTTTTTTTACCACATGGAATGTTTTCTTAAGATGTGTATTGTTTTTCCTCCTCTTATGCTTTCTTCAGCCCTCCCTTACAAATCTTTAAAGTAAAGTAAAATGAAATATATCTATAATTACAGGCGAAGAACCATGGACCAACTTTGCTAGCTGTAGTAAGAGAATACCGTAAAATGATGTATCGTATTAAACGCCGATGTGGAATCATGGACCCAACAACACCATTAATATTTGACCAACTGGAAGATTGGCTCGATCAGAAAACGGGTAGGAATTACTGATATTTTTCATATTTCTGGAATCACCACTCATTTGTTCTCATCACACTACTTTTAATTTGAGGGAGGCATTGGGGAAAGGTGTGGAAGCATTCTATCCTCTCTTTTTTTTGCCACAGGTGCTGCGCTTGTACTTTATTAATGGTAAAGGAAAGAGAAGAGGGAGTGTTTGGGAGGTTTGGGGGCTAGCAGTGTCATGGCAAAGTTATGGTCTAGACCAGTGGTCTCCAACCTTGGGCCTCCAGATGTTCTTGAACTACAACTCCCAGAAGCCTTCACCATCGAATGTCATGGCAAAGTTATGGTCTAGTCTAGTAGAAGAGTATCCAAGGAGTTGAAAATTGGTGTTGATGGTCTTTGGGCTGAATTTTGAGCCAGTTTGAAGTGTGAGTGATGAACCATCTCAGTGCATTGTGTGGTGAAATTACTGGCCTATTGCTGAAACAGGCCCTGGATTGTCTACCTTAAATGTAAAAGAACACAGCACACAATTCATTGGAGAGAAAAGGCAACTGTAACTGACTTTATTAATTACAGCAGCAGTCTCTGGCTTAGCAGTGGGGAATTAGATCCAGTGCTTCAAGAGGCTGGAAGGCCCTCCATTGCCCCCCTCTGTCTTCTTCAGCAGCTGCTGAAGGTTCCATGACACTCTAGTGCTCCATTTTTATGTTAGGTGGGTGGACTGGAGTGAAAACTGCCCACTTTCAGTTTGTCCTATTTTTGAATTGCCTGTCAGCCAATGTGAAGCCAGCAGGGAGTTTTGTTCTTCATTGCCCAATGGGAAGCCAGTGGGGGTGGGAATTGCCAGCAATCATCTTCCTGTTGCTCCAGGCTCCCAGCTACAGCATGTGAGTGCGACCATGCCAACTCCATTTATTTTTTTTGCCACCCTGAGCTGCCCACGATCCACCAGTCCACCAGCAATGGGCGATGCCCAGGCGAGACTGTGTGGAAAAAGAGAATTACGATGTTAAATGAATTTTAAGAATGCCTGCTCTAAGGTCTGGTTCAATGGAGAATATTCAGACCCTGTATGAGCTGACCTGACCTTTGCAAGTAAAAGACAGAAAGCAGTTACTGAAAGTTGGAGAGTGCAGGACATAGAAAGTCACAAATAGTGTATGGTAGGTAAGTAAGGAGAAAAAAGGGAACTCATAAACACAGTAAGGATGGTAGGTAAGTAAGGAGAAAAAAAGGGAACTCATAAACACAGTAAGGAAATGTTCCAGCAAGGTGACTGCAAGTGGAAGATCCAGGTCACAACACTAGAAAGTCCAGATCAATGTGTCAGTTGGAAAGACCCATTTCAGAAAGGAAAAGTGGAAGTACTCAAAGTGCCTTATTAAAAAAGTGTTTGTTTCTTTATGTCTTGCCTTTGTCTCTGGGACTGTATTGACCCAGGTATTCTGTGCTGTTGCATGCATGCTCTTATATTAAATGAAATGATCTTGTAATAAAATGAAATATCTGTGAAGAACAGTCTTTGTTTTTTATTATTACCATAAAAATATTATTGACAACTGGGTACCCATTTTCTTCGGAAACTCTTGTAATGATACTAGTTTCCTCGTAATTTTTTTTCCTTTGTATAACTTGTTTTCTATTACTGGTAACATACTAATATGGTTATTGTTGTTGCAATGATAGACTTCATAATTTTACAAAATTGTGGACTAAACATTTTGTAGAAAATCCAATATTTATGGAAATTCTCATGCAATAAAAAACTAATCTTAAACATAATCTAACCTATTTTTTTTAAATTTCTTAGTTTATGAAACCATGTTTACAAAAAGAGAATACTTGAAAGAGATGGACAAAAATGAACTACCTAAATTTTTCAGGGATTGTGGCTGTTTCCCCTCTGCAAAAGAATTAAATAATACTATGGAACTTGTTTTAGAAGGTAAGAAATTTTGAGGTTTCTTTCGTTCAGATGCAATAGAGAAAACTGTTCTTCAGCAAACAAAGATTATGCTATTGGGCAATTTACGAGAGCCATTGGAAATTGTGCACACACATCCTTCCAGTAGAAAGCTTGTTAATCATAGTGAATGGTGATAAATGTGTAAAGATTTTATCTTTTTATATTTGTAGAGATCCCTACTTTTTACCTTGATACTATACTTATATCTCACTCTTCAATACCAATATCAGGGCAGATTACATAGTCATGGAATAGAAAAGCAATTTAAACATATACAATAAAAATGCATATGAACAATTATTCAAAACTTTAAAATCTGCAGAGAAATTTGGATGACAAGAATCTTGGAACCATTCCAAATGCTTGTCTTGATTTCCACCAATAAAGGAAAACTCTCAGACATTTTTTTCTTGCTTAGGGGTGGTCAAGACATGTAATTTGGATGACAAGGATCTTGGAACCATTCCAAATGCTTGCCTTGATTTCCACCAACAAAGGAAAACTGTCAGACATTTTTTTCTTGCTTGGGGTGGTCAAGACATTTGCTGATTTATCTATCTTGTCCCTGTCGCGTTCCCCCAGTGTCTCCTGTTTGTTTTCCCTCAAACACAGGTCCACCTTTGGACACGATGTACTATTTTCTCCCTTTACACGCTGCCACCAGTGGATCTTTATCCACACTGTACCAAATATGTTTTTAGACGCCTGCTGCCAACTATAACAGGTTTGTTTATTGTTTGATTGGTAAATCACAGAAGTAAAGTCTTAGATGTTCTTTTATTGTTCAGTCATTAAACTTGGATAGTATTACACGTTTGCTTGTTTGTATTCATTCACTTTAATCACTGTAAAAATATCTTATGACTGTCTATTTTCTTTTACTGTACTTTTATCTCTTATCTGTTCTCTAACACACACCAACTTTCCAATCTCTGTCTCAACACTTCAAAATCCTTCTCTCTAATTGTCCTCAGTCTCCAACTGTTCTTTTGACTCCACCCCTCCTGTCCTGCCATAGGCTCCTGCCCTAGAGCTCCATATGATGGACAGGCTTGACTTGGGCATTCCGCCACAGTCCCCTTCTCATAAAACTGAACTGATGATTCTACTAAGGAATAGCTTCTATACCGTTTAGTGTGTGACAGGGCACCTATTAGTCTTAAGTCTGGAACGTCCAAGGTTGTTTTCTTTCAAACAGTTGTACAGATGGTTAAAGCATGCTTTATTTATACATTTGTCAGCTAAGAATACATGAAATGCTATGCTAGCATATGTAGCTTGTTTATTTCCAAGGACAAAACACAGTGATGGTTATGACCTTTAAAGAGCAATATGGTTCGGTACATATGGTGTGAGTGGACCTGATCTGTCTCTGTGAGCAGAACCTGTTGGGACATGTACTCCTAGGAAGTAAAACTAAAGAGGAAATATTATAGTCCTCCTTGAAAAAGATAGGAAGTTGGAAAATGGGGACGAGGATAGGATCATAGATGCTGGTTCTGCCCCAAATGTGTGTAGTTAGGTCTGCCTCTTAGTCCTCTGTGAACCAGCAAGGTGTGAATGGATTTTCTACCTGTCTTGAAATGAACACAAGTAAAAAACTTCACATTATCTGAGCTTCCCAGATGTCTGTTGTGTTGTGTATTCAGTAAAACGTAAGTAGACCTCTCATTCATACCTACAGAATTTACTTCATTGTGTAGGATGAAGGGGATGAAGGCGTATGACCAGGCACCTTCACAAGTTTTTCTGAACATATGGAAAATCTTTTAGCCCATAAACCTCCTCACCCATTAAGATAGTATTCTGTCTATATGACAGATATGATTGGCTATAAGACAAAACTGGACTTTTTGAGTGATAGCCCCTGTGCTAGAGAACTGTCCCTCATGTTCCTTGAGAATATCCTGTTTTACAACAGCTTTAGCTTGAAGATTTTTTTTAATGACTTTTCTTTTTCTGCTGTTTGTTGTTGGAGTTCTCTTTCTTGTTGATATGTCTGATTTACACTTCATAAACCCACTATTTCAAATTTGGACTTTTGCACATATGTTTTCATCATTTACATCCCTTTGAAAGTTTTTTTATTGGGAAAGTGTAAATATTTAGATACAGGGCCAAAAAAGTAATGTTACTTTGGCTAAATACACTTAATTTTTTTCACTGAAATCCATGAAATAATATGGTGAAACCCAATCATATTCGGAATTATTTAGAAATAAATACGTTTTAGTATTTATGCATCCCTGCACTTCCATAGCCAACTACACCAGAGCACAAGATGCCGGCCACAGAGACTGGCGAAACGTTAGGACGAACAACCTTCAGAATGCAGCCAAAGACCCCCAAAACCCACAACAACCATTAGATCCTGGCCGTGAAAGCCTTTGCAAATATATTTATGCATAGGTTAAAATATTATTTTTGGTTATATTAAAAATATGCTTTTCAGCTATATCACCTCATAACTGTCAGAAGCAGAGATGGCTTCTTAAAAAACAGCACCCAAGGGCAAAAAGTGCCTCTATAATGGACTAGGCTTTCTTCCCCCTAAGATATTATTGCTCAAAAGAATCAATTAGATTTAAAAAAACATCAACAAGAAACATTTGTGCAAAATAAATAATTTCAAGTGGTTTTCCATTCCTTTTGGACATACTATACAATTTCATTTATTTAAAAATCTCAAGGCAGCTTGCAAATAAAATCTCTCTGTATGTGTGTTTGTGGGGATCAGCTGTGGCTTTTAAGGCCACTGGAGGAGCTAAAATTTCAATTTCCTGCAACCTTAGTTGGCTTGCACCAAAATCTGTATGTGGTGATTACACAATCTGTAACACAATCTGTGTTAAGAATTATTTAATGCTAGGTAGCTTTCTGGATATCTCTTTAAAACAGCCAATGTTCCCTGAAATTCACTTACCTTACCTGACGTCTGTTACATTTCAACCTGATTCCTGGTCCCACAATGGTAATGGTAATTGTAGCATCCCAAAGGTTTTTAGTATTCATCAGATATTTGATTTGCATTTTCTAATAAGGCTTTTGAAATGCAGGAGCAGGAAACCTGTCTTCTACCATGATTCCTACTACTGTCTCTTTTATTAACATGGTGAATTATTTTTTCTAAAATAATTAAAATCTGTAATTGAATACACGGCAATAATTTTGGAAAATTAGCTTAATTATTCCACAAGTTCTATTAGGAAACACTGCATCTTTAATTGTAATGGAAGGGGTCGCTTTTTAAAAGCCCACTTGCATTTCATTTTATTTTTGCTATAATACAACAAAATCCTGTTGATGAGCAGAATTGTGTAATGGATACAGCAGAGATTGCATACCTGGGAGACCTGAGATCAAGTTGTCTCCATCTTTCCCGGTATAATCTCACTTATCTTTATATAGACTCCCAATGTCTCCTAGCAAGCTGCAACTGTCAGATTGCAGCTTCTATTTTCAAACATTACCTGGGCAAGAGAGTTACTTCCCTGCAGTGGTAGAAGAGAGGCAAACAGTGTGGTTACATTATGAAAACAAATCAATAGCTAGATCAGAGTGTTTTTAAATCAGGTGAGGTCAGGTGGTAGCTACATGGTATTTAGGCATTTGGGGTGTGCATCCTCTCGAGAAAAGTTGTAATCAGATTTTATGCCATATTGTATATCAGTTGAAGGGGCTACATGGGCTTTTACAATAATTGCAATCGAAGCTTTGTCTTGAGCCTATCTGCCCACCCTCATGCTGGCCACTCACTGCTGCTGTTGGAGTGTTATTTTTTATACTTTTAAATTTATTTCAAACTAGCATATCACAATGGCTCCTTGCATGACATGGACGTCTGCACACAAATACAGGAGTGAGGGAATGACAACTAGTGTTGACAAGAGGAAAGGCAAGAGAAATTAACAAGCCCAGCACCTTCTAGACTTGTGAGGGAGGGAAGACTTTCCATATCCCTATATCAGACAGAGGCTCTTCACTAGGGACACACAGAGAGAGGGAGAGAGAGAGAGGCAGGGGGAAGCAAGGCTTGCAAAGGAGGGACCACTCCCCCCTTGTGCTGGCTGCCATTTTTTTTTAAAAAAATTCAAACTATGACAGACAGCCATGTCAGACAGAGGCTTCTTACCAGGAACACATGAACACACATGGAAATGAGGCTTGTGAAGGAGGGAAACACCTATGCACACACCCATGCACACCAGTGAGTGACAAACCTCTAGGCACAATTTACACTGATAAATGTTCATGCATGCCAAAATGATTCAAAATAAATCAATGTGACATCAAGTTAAAATAAATGACTTTCAGGTAGAAAAGCAAAATACCTCACTTCTGATCAAAATAACAGAATTCCCTGTCAAAACAATCTGCATTTCCACATGTGTCATGTAGTCACCTTTTAAAAAAATGATTTAATACAGGCTAAACCCAATTGATAAATGTTCATGGATGCCAAAATGATTCAAAATAAATCAATGTGACATCAAGTTAAAATAAATGACTTTCAGGTGGAAAAGCAAAATACCTCACTTCTGATCAAAATAACAGAATTCCCTGTCAAAACAATCTGCATTTCCACATGTGTCATGTAGTCACCTTTTAAAAAAATGATTTAATACAGGCTAAACCCAATGCAAATATGTTTTTTTTTGCCTATTGTAACTATGCTGAAAGTATATTTAACTACTATGAAACTGGCTTAGAGGTGGGAGCTGCATCCTCAAGAAGAGTAACAGATAGGGGGTATACTGTAAATCTTTGTTTCTTCCTCACAGGAAATGTTGAGTAACTGCACTAATCTTTGCACACTGGTGAGGCTGGTACAGAATTTCCTGGTCTTCTGACAGAGTTCTTGCATTGACCAGAACAATGCTTAGCATAAAATGGTTGGATTTTTTACAAAATCGCCCAAATTTAAGACAATTGCTGCTTTTAAAATACCGCCACCAAAGGGGAAAAAAAGACAGGACAGG